GCTTATTGCGACAGCCGAAAAACGTTTATTCCAGATAGCTTCAAGAGTATTCCATTCTTTTGAAGCTAGAGGCGAAGCGACGATATTCTCACGGTAAAGATTCAAGAACTCGTAATAATAACAGGTTGTGCGTTCCTGGAAATAAGAGAGATCTAGAAAGACCGGTCAGTTTAGAAAACAAAGGGTTTTTGAATAAGTTAAATTACTGTTTACAAGACTTATCGTTGTAACAAGCATAGGTTTCTGAGGTGCTCATTTTAAAAAATAATAGATTTTGTAAAGTTAATTGAAGGAATAATAACGATAAGTTTGCTAACGATAATCGTTTGTGTATCTTTATAGATGTGTTTGTTTTGATGTTTTTGTTAGCATGACGCGTCGTAGTTGGCTAATTTGGGATATGTACGTGTAATACATATATAGGTTAACGTCACCTTTGTTTCCCGTGATTTTTGTGATTTTCACGTCACTTCACGTCTTGTAAAACTGATTATTTCCAATAAACTTCAAGTGTTATTTATTGTACTATTTAAGAATATAAATTATGGTATTGGCTTTAATAGCGTTTTTTATTTGTATGCACTGACCAATGACTTTTGTAAAAAATAGTGAGAAATACGTTTAAATGTTAAAGGACTTGGTACAACTGTATTTTTATTACTATACATTTTGACATTAGCAAGCACAGATATATTGAGAAACATAAAATTTATTTCTGTAATACATCCAATTATTATCTTTTTTGTATCTCTTGTTCCCGCGCGTCTCCTTCTGACATATTTATAGACAATGGAAAATCATATAAGACGTGTACCAAATGCAGGATCACGAAAGTTGAGAAAAGAAGAAGCGTTTTTTTTACTAAGTATGCTTGCCGAAATTTCAAATAATTTGGGATCCTGCTGCAAAATTCAATGTTGTATTTTTGCTTTGGGATTCGGCTGCTAATTCAATGTTTCAATGCTGCATTTCGCCACGGAATTTGTCACCGTGTGCTTGGGATTTTGTTGCAAAATTCAATGTTGTATTTCACCAGAATTTGACATTGTTTTTCATTTTGAATTTGCCTTTTTTGAGTCTTGCCATTTTGGTGACTGTTTGATATAAGGAAGAAACTATATGTAACTATAAATGGCAATATCGCATCCCAATTGACAATTGGGGTAATTCCAAATAACGATTGTAATCTGGACTAGTGTTTAAAGCTAACTAGGATGCGCCAGCGCAGAGTCGACTCGCTGAGTCAGCTGACCTGACTTTTTTCGATGCGGCGCATTAATCTTTCTAAATTTGATATATAATAAATATGTATATATAAAATACGTACGTGTTTTATGTAGTGTTTCAAGCCGGCAACAAAATACCAGCATGACTGGGTTGGAATTTTTTACATCGACTAGCCAGCTGAATCGATAGTTATGTGAATTTTCTTATTTAGAATTTATTTATGTGCTTACGTCAATCACAGTATTACATAAAACACGTACGTATTATATATATACATGTATATTATATACCAAATTTAGAAAGATTAACACGTCGCATCGAAAAAAGTCAGATCGGCTGACTCAGCGAGTCAACTCTGTGCCAGCGCGTCCTAGTCAGCTTTAAACACTATGTAATACTGTGATTGATGTAAGTACATAAATAAATTCTAAATAAGGAAATTCACATAACTATCAACTCAGCTGACTAGTCAATGTAAAAAATTCCAACCCAGTCGCACTGGTATTTTGTTGCCAGCTTGAAACACTAATTTGGACACACTAAATAATGTCGCCATCCCGATTGCTGATCGGACAATTGTATGTATATATGTAAAATATTCCCATTATTAATTTCTAAATCTAATTGGTTTCTATTATCTTTTATGCGTGTCTTTACAAAGGTTGATTACCGTTATTGATCTTCTAAACAATGCCTTTTCTGGATCAAGATCCTCAGTTAATATTATGAAGGAATTTTACATGTCTTATTTTACTTGGAGAACAATTGTGTGCAACAATTTTAATCTTTATTGAGACCCATAGACCTTTTTTATATACATTATTTAGAGTTTTACTTAATAATACTACTTTTCTATGATTACGATCAAGATTAAATAAAAATAAAATAAAATAAAATAAAATTCAGAGAAAATACAGAAGATTAAAAGCATTGTTTAAGAGAGAATTAAGGATTTTGTTTAAGTGAGAGATCGTGACAATTAAAAAGAAAATGCAAAGGTAATGTTTAGGAGAGAACACATGACACAAATAAAAAGAAAATAAAATGATTAATCGATCAAGTGATTAATTATCACTTTTAAACTAATGAAACTATAGTATATAAGGAACACCCAATATTAAACAAGTAATAACTGTTGAACACCATAAGACTGATTCCAACTAATAATTAATTACCTTTTTTCCTTACCATTAAGTCTTAACACTCACCCCTTTTCCCATTACGACTTTGTTATCATTAACGTGATCAATTACTGGTCAATGTTTTATAAGATCAGGATAAGGGTTAAATTAGTCTTTCAAGCCAGGTTTACCTTTTTAATTTTCTTGTGCCAGATTTGTTTTGCTGGATTGATCAACAAAATTTGCGCATCCTCATTAGATGAATTACCTGAAGATACAATGCTTTAACGTTAGCGCATCCCAATTTTTGGCTTACATGTGATTGATCATGTGACTGAATTTGTATTTAAGAGCATTTTTTCACACATCAGCAAAAACAATGTCTTCGTATACTGTAAATGACATGCTAAAATACGCTAAATTAGAAAAACAAATTTTTTTGATTTTGATAAGTTTTCTGAAAAAAAAGTAATCAGTAATGGAGCGTTCAGTAAAATCTATAAAGCCAAGTTAAAAAATGAAGATATAACTGTTGCTTTAAAATAGCTATACATAAAGATAAAAAAATTTATTGAAGAGGTATCATTCATATATTTAAGGGTTGAAATAAATACACTTATGACTTGCTAGTATTAATCATTCTTCATTTTATACTTGAAAATTCTTATTCAAATTAATTATCATAAAAACATTATTAGTTTTTATGGAATTACCCAGGGTAAAATATATTATCTTTATCTTTTGTTAAAGTCTATTTAATAAAAATATTCTTTAGATCTGATTTCTGAGAGATGCATGCTTGTTTCGAAATACGCTAACGATGGAATCCTGATGAAATATTTAAGTATTAATTTTAATAAAATGAGTGGCAATGATAAATTGAGTTTTGCCAAACAACATGTACATGATGCAGATATGATTCATTGAGCTTGGGTAATTTTTATAGATTTTCAGTATAGTGAGTTATAATTTAATTTATAAATACTAAAGCTAATTTTGAACTTTTCATATTAATAGAATCACAATAATATACTTGTTCATAAGAAAATCATAATTTCATATTAATAGAATCACAATAATATACTTGTTCATAAAGAAAATCATAATTTCAGATTTAGTATATTTAAAGCTTTCAAATGACTCAAAAACAGATTTGAACATGATAAGTTATATCAATTTCGTATTTCTAAGTGATACGTCCAACTTTGACAGGGTGATAAATCTGACATTTTCAGCCTTGATATATTTCTTTGAGTTATTTCCAGTGGTCATCCTCCTATTTACCAACATGAGTGTACTTTTTGTTCTTTATCAGAAAAAGAAAAAAGAATCTGTAAAATGCCACATAAATATATTAAGCTTTATCAAGTATGCTGAAATGATGTGTCAACAAATCATCCAGATATTTATAAAATAAATAAACAACTTAAAATAATAGAATGACCAACCATTTTGCTTACTTTAGCTTCAGAAAAATCAGATGATTTAGCTGTTAAAGACTATTCAGATGCTATCGAATTAGAGAAATTTATGTTACTACGGTAACAATATATAATTATATTTAATAATATTGTATAGATTAATTAATTAATATATTTATAGATTCCTTCTTTTATATTTCATTTCTTCTTTTATATTTATATTACATAAAAATCTTGATTTCAAAATCTTAATCTGAAAATCTTAATCTGAAATTACAAAATATGTATATTAAATAGTATTAATTAGTAATACT